AGGTTTTTTTAAATAATTTCGTTTGTGTATTTATTTGTGTTTTACTGAATAGCAATATGTTTGTGGCATTTTATATTTCATGTGCCCAAATTACACTATATAACAAAATTTGAAAAATGTTGTTCCTGGTTTGAAAATGTTGTTTTCTGTTTAATTGTGCGAAACTTACTTTAAAGTAGTTGTTATACTCCAGAAACTTCGTATTTGTGATTGCCACAAACTATATTGAATTGGTTGAGACTCTATGAGATATTCATTGAAAAACTATAACAAAATGTGCTGCAGGATGTCCTACAATTTTTTTTTTTTTTGCAATTTAATAAACTTTCCCCGTGTTTTTATGATAGAACCAATTAGGAAATGACATGAAATCAAGGAACAAAAATCATGCTACATAGTGTTTCTTAAATGAATTTGGATGCTATTCCCCTTGAATGGGATGGAAGATGCCATTTGCTACTCTGTTTCAGTTAGAAAAATGTCTTGGTCAATATGTTTAATCTGTAGGTGCCCAGCATGCTACACAGTGACGCTTCCAAACTCTAGCCCACATTACGACACATTCATGTTGCACGCACAAGATCTAAAGAGAACGGTAGACCATTCTAGTGTCTTGTGCAAACACAAACTTGAGAGCAGCACAGTCCCTATTTGTCTGCCTTTCCACTTATGGTAGCCTCGTGGATTTCTTAGGGAAAGTATACAAGATTTTACTAGGTCCTTTCTCTGTCCATACAAACTGCCATTAAATGGGTGGAACCACGGGGCAAAGGTTAACAAAGAAGTAACCAAGCATAGGAAATAGCAAGAGACGCACCACAAGGAAGTTATGATAGTTCATGAAATGATTTCATAGAATCATAGAGTTGGAAGAGACCTCATGGGCCATCCAGTCCAACCCCCTGCCAAGAAGCAGGAATATTGCATTCAAAGCACCCCTGACAGATGGCCATTCAGCCTCTGTTTAAAAGCCTCCAAAGAAGGAGCCTCCGCCACACTCCGGGGCAGAGAGTTCCACTGCTGAACAGCTCTCACAGTCAGGAAGTTCTTCCTAATATTCAGATGGAATCTCCTTTCTTGTAGTTTGAAGCCATTGTTCCGTGTCCTAGTCTCCAGGGAAGCAGAAAACAAGCTTGCTCCCTCCTCCCTGTGGCTTCCTCTCACATATTTATACATTGCTATCATGTCTCCTCTCAGCCTTTATGGTTAAAGAAGTGGTGGTGAAGGTTCATGAAGAGTTAAAATTTACAAAGGTATGCAAAAACTATTCCAAAAAGAGAACCTCAAGAGCCTGAAAGTGACAGCCGAAAAAGGTGACCCAAATCAATGATGAAACTTCATGGAATGGAAAGGGAACAGGAATAGATTAGATGTTTAGCCTTCCTCCCAGCCCCACTGCAAGATTTAAGTTTCATTTGGTTATTACATTCATAACTCCACTTTCCTCCAAGAATTTCATAGCAACATACACTGGATTCTCAGCATGGGGATTCCTCGAAGTGACAGAAAACCAATATAGAAACTGAAGACGCAGGATGCCATAATCAGAATTCACCTATCCTCCGAGTGTCTGAGCAGCCATCAATTTCTCTGCAAGTGGTGAAGAGCAGGAACACAAAAAGTGCTTGGAATTAACTAGTTCCAAATTTCTATAATTATAATTGTAATATGCATAAGTAATTCCTCTTTTCTAATAATGAAGGTATAACTATATCATATTAAGATTGCAACTCATGAAGGAATAATTTAACTCTTTTTAATGCATAATGTTAGTGACTTGTACAGTTACAGGGATGTGGTTTGTTGATGTGCTCAAGAAAGACATCTGCTGCATTCTTAATTGATATTCTGTCTTCTACATAATTATTAAAGGAACATTAATTCTGCCCTGCTTTCCGTGTGGCCAATCATACCTGTGCTTCATGTGGTCACCTCATGTTTTTGTAGTGAGGGCCTAAATCCTCCCAACCTGTGGTCTGTGGACCACCAGTGGTCCACAAGAACTGATGTACGGTCCGCGGCCTCACAGTTACTACATCTTTTCATGGTATCGAGGCTTATTAAATATGGTTTTCTGTGGGTGAGCAGATGGCAACTACTGGATGGCATATTTTCCGTACCAGAAATTAGAGCTGATGTGGTCTAGCCAATGTAATTTTCTGAATCAGCACCCCAAATAACCAAACTGAATCTAAAGTTGTAACCTTTTTGGTACTAATGTTGGAGAGTGGTGTCTGGCCAAGGTGGTCCCTGGTCAAGAAAAGGTTGGGAACCACTGCTCTAAAGGCACCCGTTCCCATGTGATTTGGGAAGCTGAGCAGGAATCACTCTGGTTAGGAATTGGATGGGAAACTGCCAACAAATGCTAGGTACCACAGACGACACTTCAGAGGAAGGAACTAGCAAAACCGCCTCCGAGCATTCCTTGCTTATGAAATTCATGGAATTGCCATAAATTGGCAGGCAACTTGAACGAAAACACACAGTGAGAAATGATAAGGTGAGTAAGAGGGAGACATTTTTTTTAACCAAGTCTTATAGGATTTAGGAGTGTTCCATTTAAAATAATAATCCAAAATAGCTTGAAAAAAGGAAAACAGAAAAGTTACTTTAAAAAAAACCTAACGGTAATACTATTTGATTACTTGGGAGCAGTCTTTGCACTCTAAGAGTAATGAATTTGGGTAGAGATGTGATACAATGGGTATGCAGAGGTCTGAAGGGGCAACGTGAAACACAACACCATGTGCCATTGTAAAATATTTAATCAACAATGGTTGGCAACCTCAGATTTCCTCTGCTTATTAGGTCTCTTTCCTCATCTGCCGTGGAGAGAGGAGAGGAATCAAGCCGCAGACAACCAGCATCCCTTCCTTACAGCAGAGGAGCCCAACAGAGAACCCAGGCACAATCTGTGCTGCTTGCTCCGCTTGAATTATCCGGCCCACCAGATGGCTCAAATTAAAAAGAAGGGGAAAAATGAGTGTGTTTTCCAACCTACTTCTCCAGGCTGAGAAACAGAGACTATCTGAGTAAATAGTTCTATGGTACTAAATAAATGAATACCAGGACAACAACAGTACGTGCAAACTATTCCAGCAATCCTAGATTGCAACATGTGGCTTCCCTGAAATCACATAGATTCCTGGTGGGGGGAAAAACCAAAAACAGAAGGGAGGAGAGGAAACGGGAGAGAAACAGAGAGGGGGACATAAAAGGGGCACAGCAAACAGTGGATCCCGGGTTCCTAACAGCTTTAGCAGCAAGAGCAGTGCCAAACATAAGCTTTTCATGAAAATAGAAAAACAAATACAACCCCACACTAAGCATAAACCCCGAACCCAAAACAACAAAAGAAACCACTGAATCTCCCATTCAGAAAAAAAACAGTCACATGCCTACAATTGAGAATGTACTCAAATCCCTTATCTTAATGCCTAGATTAATGCCTAGAAAGTAACTTAATTTCCTAGATTAAAGGCTTTGGCTTGTCATGGATTTCCTGCATGAATATAACAAACAATTTAGAGCATTGTTTCTCAAAGTTTCTGAATCTGAGCCCACTTCTAAATCTCTGCTACTTTGGAGATGGGTTAAGAAGGAGGAGGCATGGTCCAGACCAAGCATCCCCAAATGCATACACAACTGTACGAGGCACTATGAGTAAATTTTGGAATTAATTACATAGAACCATACAGTTGGAAAGACCACAAGTGTTATCTAGTCCAACGCCCTGTCATGCAGGAAAAGCATAATTAAAGCACCCCTGACAGATGACCATCTGGCCTCCAGAAAAGGAGACTCCACCACATGCCGAGACAACATATTCCACTGGCGAACAGCTCTTACTGACAAGAAATTCTTCATAATGTTTAGGTGGAATCCTTTTTCCTGCAATTTGAATCCATTGCTCCATGTCCTGGTCTCCAAAGCCACAGAAAACAAGGCTGCCCCCTTCTTCAGTGTGACAACCTTTCAAATATTTAAATATGGCTATGATGTCCCCTCTCAGCCTTTAAACTCTCAGCCAATAAGCAATGTACCTGTATGCTGAATACATGAAGTCTGTAAGTATATCAACTATGTTACTTTTAACAAAGACTACTTATTTTGGTCTCCTGAGAGCATGATTTAAAAGCAATATATTTTATGGGAGAGTAGATTAATTGAAATAACATTGCTATATAATTTGTGCATTGGTATATCTTTGTTCCTAATAGTTCAGAGAGAACTATTATATATCAGTCTAACAACTGAGAAGCCTAATTTGCCTTCCATGAAACTAGTAGATATTTATCACTAAGGAGAAGATTCACTCAAATGAGTATGTAACAGAAAGATCATACTTTACAAAAGGGTTATGATTATTCCAAATAGTGTGAATACCACTTAATCTCCAAAAGGGTCATGCTTCCAAAAGGCTATCAAGATTCCTGGTTTTCCAAAAGATTATGATCTCTAAAAGGTTATGCCTTCCCAAAAGAACCAGTGGAACAGAAAGCAAAAGATAAAAAAATGGGGCAGGGGGTGTCTAAAAAGTTACTTTTTCAAATAACACAAGAACAAATACAAGCTCAAGCCTGAGCCCATTGTTACCATTGCCGTTGCAATTTCAGGAGTAAAATGTTACACAGAAGTTATTCAGAAATTACTAAATGGTTGGGCTTTGACTTATGTCTTCACATAGACATCAAAACTCTCTAAGCTGCTGCTTATAGTAGAAAGCTCATCTAAGTAGGGATGCGCACATACAATTAAAAATATAATGTTTGCCACCAGTCACCCAACAAAGGGAGTAAAAGTATAGTAATTTCATCATGCTTCAAAAACTGCAAAGAGAAAGGTTTGGCAAGAAAGAGAGAGGAAGAGAAAGAGAGAGACAAGAGATGTATGTGTGAAGAATTAATTCCAAGTATCATGGTGCTTTAATCATATTACCTTTAGGTTCCAGGTTGGGGAAGGGGAAGGAGGAAAATTCAATACAACTTGCAGCTACTTACGGTGCAAGCTGAGAGAGATGTTGATGGTCCGCTCCTCCACGAAGCCCTTCAGATTGGGGATTTTGGCACATTTCAAGATCGTTTGGGAGGAACTGTCACCAACATGAACCCAGCACACCGTGTCCTCGACGTAGTTAAAGTCCATGGCTGTGGTCTGATGCGTGCTGGTAGGAGTGATGTTAGGGACAGAGCCACCATTCAGGTAAGAAGCCATGATATTCTGCGAGTTAGCAATGAGCAGGATGGGAGGTCGCTCTACTGGTTCTGGGGGAAAACAAGACACGAAAGAGAAATGAGATTTAGGTACAAAAGCATGTGTGTTTCTTAAGAGATCTACACATCTTAGCATGAGCCCCAGAAAATGCAGCCACATAGAGTAGACCTCGGAGGAACAAACTGAAAAGAGCATATGAAATGGGAAACATATCTGCCTGCTATGCTGATCTCAAGGGGCCCTTCCACACAGCCATATAACTGAGAATATCAAGTCTCACAATATCTGCTTTGAACTGGGTTACCTGAGTCCACACTGCCATATATTCCAGTTCAAAGCAGATAATGTGGGATTTTATTCAGCTGTGTGGAAGGGGCAAAAAAACCTGGAAATAAAAACACATGAAGAGAGATTTAAGGACAGGAGAGAACAGGAGACAGACAATTGCATGGAACAGTATATCTCACTGACCACCACAAAAAATTAAAAAGGATTTATATACTTCTGTGATGAAAAAATAAGCAAATCATGACAAATTCAGGATAATCACCAGCAAGGTAACTTTGCTTACTGGAGCCAGATGAAAGATATTTTATGTCCTTAGAGCAGTGGTTCTCAACCTGGGGTCCCCAGATGTTTTTGGCCTACAGCTCCCAGAAATCCCAGCCAGTTTACCAGCTGTTAGGATTTCCAGGAGTTGAAGGCCAAAAACATCTGGGGACCCCAGGTTGAGAACCATTGCCTTAGAGGAACCAAGCATGCAACTTCCAACATGAAAGAGATGTAGTGCAGGGAAAAAGTAAACATTTGACCTTTGGGGGGGGGGGGGGAGTCTCAAGATATTCTAATCAGTGCCCATGTGAACTCAGTGTCTGATATATCCCCCCCCCCAAGTAAGTTTTCCAAATTCTGATATAAGGGAGATCATATATATCTGCAAGATGCTGAAGAAGATACTAAAGCATGTGCAATAGATATAGATACCAAGATAGATAAATAGAGGTGCTTTATTAGAACAGCAGTGAAAATCCACAGGGCTGAAAAGGACACAGCTGGGATTAAGAATCCATCTCTTACCATTCTTAGCTTTGCAGGACTTGTGGTCAGGCTGGAGCAGATACCCCTCCACGCAGCTGCACCTATAGGAACCATCATTGTTGGTGCACGTTTGGCTGCAAGTGCCATAAACAGTGCACTCATCGAAATCTGTTCAGTGGGGAAGAAAAGGCAGGGGAGAATTGCTTTAGAAAAACATCCAACCAAAACATAGAAAATAAACATTACAGGACAATACTAGTAATAACAATGTATTGTCGAAGGCTTTCATGGCTGGAATCACTCAGTTCTTGTGGGTTTTTTCGGGCTATATGGCCATGTTCTAGAGGCATTTCTTCTGACGTTTCGCCTGCATCTATGGCAAGCTTCCTCTGAAGAAGCTTGCCATAGATGCAGGCGAAACGTCAGAAGAAATGCCTCTAGAACATGGCCATATAGCCCGAAAAAACCCACAAGAACTAGTAATAACAGTTCTAGAATATTGAATGTTGCAAAATAACCTCTTCAAAATAAGGGTAAGCCATGAAATCACTTGAAATTTATTTTGGTACCAATTTAGCAGATACAGATTCTATTCCCAAGTAAGAGGTTGTTGAGTGTGGAAGGCTCCCATCCAAGGCTACAACCCACAGGGATGTTTTCCTATGTAGGCAACTCTTGAATCAGATAAGAGCTGCTCTTGTTCAACTCTCACTGATTTCACCGAGGGCCCTTCTACACTGCCATATAATCCAGATTATCAAAGCAGCCAATCCACATGATATGCTTTGAACTTGATTATATGAGTCTACACTGCCACATAATCCAGTTCAAAGCAGATAATCTAGATTTTATATGGCAATGTAGAAGGGGCCTTCTAAAGCCATCATTCTGGAGGATTTAGGTACTAAGATGTGAGACCTAACAGCACAGCTGAAGAGGTAATTTGAATTGTGCCCATGTCCCTTTGAATGTTAGAGGTGTCCAACAATCCCATATCACTGGGTTGTTGTAGGTTTTTTTCGGGCTATATCGGCATGTTCTAGAGGTATTTTCTCCTGACGTTTCGCCTGCATCTATGGCAAGCATCCTCAGAGGTAGTGAGGTCTGTTGGAACTAGGAAAAAGGGTTTATATATCTGTGGAATCACCAGGGTGGGACAAAGGACTCTTGTCTGTTGGAGCTAGGTGTGAATGTTTCAACTGACCACCTTGATTAGCATTTGATGGCCTGGCAGTGCCTGGGGCAATCTTTTGTTGAGAGGTGATTAGATGTCCTTGTTTGTTTCCTGTTGTTGTGCTGTTGTAATTTTAAAGTTTTTTTAATACTGGTAGCTAGATTTTGTTCATTTTCATGGTTTCCTCCTTTCTGACATGGTGGTTGTGAGAGTGGTCCAGCATTTCTGTGTTCTCAAAAAATATGCTGTGTCCAGGTTGGTTCATCAGGTGCTCTGCTATGGCTAACTTCTCTGGCTGAAGTAGTCTGCAGTGCATTTCATGTTTCTTTGATTCGTCCAAACACGAATCAAGGAACATGAAAGGCACTGCAGACTACTTCAACACAGAAATGCTGGACCACTCTCACAACCACCATGTCAGACTACACAGAGAAGTCATTGAAATCCATAAGCATGTGGACAATTTCAACAGAAAAAACCTACAACAACCCAGTGATTCCGGCCATGAAAGCCTTCAACAATACAATCCCATATCATTTCTGGGTCAACCAGAGGTTTCTTTGAGAAGGAAAAACAACGAGGCAGCTGCTACAGCTAATTAATATGACACTGATAAAATTCTAATGAAAACTTTGACACCATCCACGGAGAACGTATTTAGTGAAAGACACCCAGCTGCTCTGAAATATATACATTAAGAATTCAAATTGCTTGCTAAAGAACTCAGAGCACTAACTTGGTACTTTATAAAATCTCTCAAGATTGACACGTCTAAAAGCTTGAGCACAATTAGTTTAAAAGCCCCAATAATTCTACAACCGATTTCTTTTGACAAAAATTATGAAACAGACATGGAAAAAAAAAACAGAACCACTGGGCAGAAACCGATGGTTTCCATATACTGTAAGTGGGTTTTAGTCCAAATCCTAAGCAGTGGTTCTCAACTGTGGGTCCCTAGATGTTTCGGCCTTCAACTCCCAGAAATCCTAACAGGTGGTAAACTGGCTGGGATTTCTGGGAGTTGTAGACCAAAACACATGGGGACCCACAGATTGAGAACCACTGTCCTAAAGGAACATTCTGGATGAGGAGGGGGTCAGCACCACGGATAGCTCTTCTGAAGTTCAAACTAAACCCCCAGTACATTCTACTCATCATAGTGGCAGGAAAGCCACCAACCACCACTGGATACAGCCCAATTGTGTTTTTCCCCTCTCTCCCAATGGTTGTTCTAAGAGATTTGCCTTTCTTTCGTGACCTCTCCTTTTCTATTTCAAAGTCATCACTTACCTTTGCAGCTTTTCCCGTCTTCTGCCAACTGGAAAGAACTGTTGCAGTAGCACATTGGACCATTCAGTGTTGGGACGCAATGATGCTGGCAACTCATATCTGTACAGTTTTTTGAAAGCTCTAAAAAAGAAGAAGAGACACGAAAAAAGAAAGGTGAGCCCCAATCAGTCAGGTACTGGAAAGGTGATTTGGTGAAGGTAATTTCATTAAATCTAGGCTTACAACATGCATGTTCTGGATTTCCTTTTTGAATTAACACAAAAAAATCCCATATCTCTGGGATAAACAACCATACAAGAAATGACAATACACATTCTGTTCTTCTGTGCAAAAAAATCTTACGACTTTTCGAAGGCTTTCATACCCAGAATCACTGGGTTGCTGTGAATTTTCCAGGCTGTACGGCCATGTTCCAGAAGCATTATCTCCTGACGTTTCACCCACAACTTTTTTTTTTTTGCAACTATGATTTTTTTGCAACTATGGAGCCCCCGGTTGACCCCTGTGCCGGCAGGACTGAAGACCAACAGGTTTCAGGTTCGAATCCGGGGAGAGGCGGATGAGCTCCCTCTGTCAGCTCCAGCTCCTCGAGCGGGGACATGAGAGAAGCCTCCCACAAGGATGATAAAAACATCAAATCATTAGGGCATCCCCTGGGCAATGTCCCTGCAGACGGCCAATTCTCTCACACCAGAAGCGACTTTCAGTTTCTCAAGTCGCTCCTGACACATGATCTTAACCTCCGAGATGGTTCATAGAGGGAGTTATATTCAGACAGGTAAGCTGGGCCAGAACCGTTTAGGGCTTTTTAGGCTAAACCCAGCACTTTGAATTGTGCTCATTAGCAGACTGGCAGCCAGTGGAGCTGACGCAACAGAAAAGTTGTATGTTCCTTGTATGCCGCTCCAGTGAGGAATCTGGCTGCAACCTGTTGGACCACTTGACATTTCTGAACAGTCTTCAAAGGCAACCCCACGTAGAGCATGTTGCAGTAGTCTACTTGGGATCTAACAAGAGCATGGACCACTGTGAACATGTCTGGCTTCTAAAGGTACAGACGCAAAAGTTTTAATTGTGCAAAAGCTCCCCTGGCCACCGCAGAGACCTTGGGTTCCAGGTTCAGTGATGAGTCCAAGATAACTTCCAAGCTGCACACCTGTGTCTTCAGGACAGGAGGAATATAACCCCATCCAGCACAGCATAAGTTCAGCTTTGCAACTGACCAGAAGCACCTCTGCCTTGTCTGGATTCAATTTAAATTTGTTTGCCCTTATCCAGGTCATTACCACTGCCAAACACCGGTTCAGGACGGTTCAGGAACACCGGTTCCACCTCCTTAGCAGCAGGTGGAAACGAGCAATAGAGTTGAATGTTATCTGGGTACAGATGATACTGAACTCCAAAACTCCTGATGATTTCTCTCAACAGCTTCATGCAGATGTTAAAAAACACTGTCCACTGGGACTTACTGAGTGAGGCAGTACTGGTTTCTAGATTCTTACGGAAGTATCCTCTCTCACGTATTTTCTCCATCAAATGAACCAATTACAAATATGTTGCCTAATTATTCATTTATATGGGTCTGAAATTGCCCGACATCAGAACTCTTAGAAGTTGCATATTAGTGCCGCATGCGTCCATGCATAGATGTATGCATAATTAGAGATCTAGTTCTCAATGGCTGCTCCCAGATTCTGGCAATTTTTCAGGCAGTTATATAGGAAATCATAAAATGACAATACATAGCATTAGGGAGGGTTACAAAAAGGCAACCTAGTCTTACAAAAACATGCCATCTATGTACGCCATATAGGATATGTAGTCCTTTAATGATTTTTCAGATGCCCTCTTACTAAAGAGCATTCACAGACTAACATACATTAGGCTATGTATTGTCGAAGGCTTTCATGGCCGGAACCACTGGGTTGTTGTAGGTTTTTTTTGGGCTATATGGCCATGTTCTAGAGGCATTCTCTCCTGACGTTTCACCTGCATCTATGGCAAGCATCCTCAGAGGTAGACATACACTACCTCTGAGGATGCTTGCCATAGATGCAGGCGAAACATCAGGAGAGAATGCCTCTAGAACATGACCATATAACCAGAAAAAAACCTACAACAACCCACACATTAGGCTTTTTAGCAATTAAAGACCATCCTTTGACCATCTTAAATGCATCTCATTTAGTTATTTACCTATTTGTTTATCTATGTAAACATTTAACTCTGTATCATTCAAAAGATCTAACATTGCTGTACTTCTAATAATTATATCCCACTTGAGAGCCTTATTCCAGTAATTACATATTTCAAATGAAGTCATGCGTGTGAACCAAAGAAGAATGATTATTTTGAACTGCACAGTAGACCTCTGGGTTTGCTTGCTTGTTTATTTTTAAATATATATATGTGTGTTAAATTATACTTTTACCAAAACTAAAATACTGTTTTGAGTCTCAAACATAAATATGACTTTTGTATCATATTGAAATCAAAAGCCACTATTTTATGATGATTTTTAAAGGCTTTACAGAATCTTTCATTGTGTACATTTCCAAAAGAACAAGCAGCACCTCTTAATTAGGTACCCATTCTCTATGTCATAAGAAATCTGTTTTACAGTAGGTCAGACTTGCCAGCATGAGACAGCATCCATGGTAACTGTAAGATTCTGGAAACTGTAGACAAAAAGGAAGACTTCGAAGCTGTGGTAGCCTCTCATAAGCCCCTTCTACACTGCCATATAAAATCCAGATTATCTCCTTTGAACTGGATTATATGGCAGTGCAGACTCATATAATCCAGTTCACAGCAGATAATGTGGATTATTTGCTTTGATAATGTGGATTATTTGGCAGTGTAGAAGTGGCCATAGTCTCAAGAAACAATCAGGAATTCTATGTGTCCTAATTTGGAGAGATGGTAGACTTCTGTTTGCAGGATTAGTTTAGAGCAGTATTTCTCAATCTGGAGGTCGGGACCCCTGGGGGGCTCACGAGGGGGTGTCAAAGGGATTGCCAAAGACAATCAGAAAACACAGTATTTTCTGTCAGTCATGGGGGTTCTGTGTGAGAAGTTTGGCCCAATTCTACTGTTGTTGGGGTTCAGAATGCTCTTTGATTGTAGGTGAACTATAAATCACAGCCACTACAACTCCCAAATGTCAAGGTCTATTTTCTCCAAACTCCACCAGTGTTCACATTTGGGCATATTGAGTATGCATGCCAAGTTTAGTCCAGATCCATCATTGTTGAGTCCACAGTGCTCCCTGGATGTAAGTGAACTACTACTCCAAAACCTAAGGTCAATGCCCACCAAACCCTTCCAGTATTTTCTGTTCGGTCTTGAGAGTTCTGTGTGCCAAAGTTTGGTTCAATTCAATCATTGGTGAAGTTCAGAATGCTTTTTGATTGTAGGTTAACTATCAATCCCAGCAACTACAACTCCCAAATGACAAAATCAATTCCTTCCCCCAACCCTACTAGTGTTCACATTTGAGCGTATCGGGTATTTGTATGTCAAAGGAAAGAAGTGGCAAAACCACCTCTGATGACTCCTTACCTAGTTCATATAATTCATGGGATCACCATAAATCAACAGCTGATTTGCATGCACACACAAACATGCTATGGTGTGACATTACGACTCAACACTAATAAAATTATTGACAGATATAGGACAGCAACACTGAGGAAAACTACCAAGGGACACTAAAAGGTGCAAGGATCACAACACACATACATACAGACTGAACTGAGAACAACTTCCTTAGGGTTTTTTTTTAAGGCTTTTAAGTTATGACAGCATCTACAATAGGGATGAAATAGTAAAAATTCACAAGATACTTTCTTGAACTGATCATAGTTACCTGAAAAAACAGACCATTAAACTGCTGCTCCCATCATAGCAAAGATTTACCATTTAGGCCTTAGAAATTTGTTAGGTCCTTCAAGGAAGACTTTATGGTAAAATGTGGGAAACATACCGCAGATTTGCCGCTAAGACCTAGCAAATTCCTAGATAAACTTTTTTTTCTCAGCATAAGTAAGTTAAACCATGAATATTGGTTCTTCAATTATTATGGTTTAACTATATATTTCATAAGAGTGATGCCCAGCAAATTACTGAATTATGAAACATAATTGTCATGGTGGTTGCTCACCCATGTATTATCCCTTTAAGCCATTACTTCCAAACATGGCAATTTGGTGTCTTTTCTTATTGGCAAAGGTGTTAGGCGTACATATACATCTGAGATGAAGGTGAATACTGATCTCAGGAAGGAAATGACAGGTGGTGTTGTGCCCCCTGCAGCTCTCAGGAAGAAGCACATCTTTTGGAGCGTGTTCTCTCCTAGGTGACAGCTGGAAGATAAACTATGGAAAATTTCCTTACTTCTTAGTTCTCAAAGTCATTGCAGTATAACAGCTTTAATTCATCAATGAAAAACAGATCTGCCTTCCAAAGAACTTGTGGCCCTCCAGATGTTTAGGACTTCAGCTCCCATAGTTCCTAACAGCTGGTAAGCTGGCTGGGATTTTGGAGAGATGAAGTTCAAAATACCTGGTGGTCCAAAGGTTGGGAATCCATCTGATCACTAACCACTGAGCTTGTGCACAGATTCAATTTGATTGGTTCCCTTCAGCCAATTTGGCTTGTTTGGTTGGCCATAATGGTAAAGGCTCAGTCACCACGTTTTTTCATCCAAAACGAGTCACATGACAGCCAGTCACAGCTCCTCCTTGCCTATTTGGCATCACACGGCACGCGGAGAGGCTGCTGTGTGCTGCTCGCACAGGGTTTCCCTATGAGCCCTGCCTGTTAAACCAATCAGAATACAAGAACACCATTACATATCTTACGCAAGCTGTGTCAGCGAGCACCTCCATTGCTCTAAGTTGTGTCCTGGCTCTAGAGAGTTGCTTCAGTCCGATTGCCTTGCCGCTCGTTCTCAACTTTATTTTTTGGCTTGGTTTGGCTTGGCCTCTCTCTAGCATTTAATCGTTTCATTTTCCTTTATTTCCTTGATTCTCTTTAATTAGTGGGACTGGGAGTTGGGAAAGTACGGGATGGATGATTAGGGTGTGTGCGTGCATTTGGGGACCTGCTCTGAAACACTA